CAACTTCGACCAATAACTGAAAGATTTCATTTATATAACAGATATATGGATGATATTTTGATTATTTACAAAGAAGACATCGACCTTAATGAAAGTTCGAATGGTTGAAATAATTGTCACCCATCAATTGAATTCACTTTAGAAACAGAGGCAAACAATGAATTTCATTTTCTTGATGTCTGATTGAAAAGAATGCCGGATGGTTTTTTACAGAGATCTATATACAGAAAACCAACCTGGAATGGTCAGTTCACGAATTTCCATAGCTGGGTCCCACTGAGTAGAAACAGGAACTTAATTCACTTTTTATCCTCAAGGATCAAGCGAATATGTTCCACTGACTATTTCAACTTCGACAGACTCATTAGGAATGGTTATCCACCTAGATTCACCGATAGCAACTTAACACCTAAACATCATCATGGAAAAGCATCGATAGTACAAAAGAAAACCCTTTTTATGAATGTGGAATTTAAAGGAGACGAGGATGTTGAAATCTTAAATAGACAAATTTCAAAATCGTTGAACAAAACGTCCTACACAACCAAGCTCCTTATTGTTTTCTGAAGCTGGCCTACCATTCATGGATGTGTTAAGAATAAACTTCCGCTTTGGGCCACATCATGTGGGGCAGATTAGATTGACCGCACAAAGCGATAAACTTTCCAAACTGATCTCAGAACACTATTTGGCTTGGCTTTTAAAAGGACTGTAGTGACTCACATTCATCACGAGAGCACGACTGGTTTAATAAAAACAATTATTCTTATAACCAACTGTACCAGTGTTTGTTTTAATGTGCTTTTGTTTGACTGTGCTAATGAAAGCTATTTTGTGCTTCCATTATTTTACTTACACTTTTGATTGTGACTTCGCGCGAATTCGGTTACGTTCTGTAACCAAGCTTGTATCCTGGCACGATCTCGGTATCCTTTCGATGCCACGAGATCGCCAGCGAATATATCTCGATTTGGTCCATTAACTGTCTTCTGATATTTGGCTTCTCGGGGATTTTATGGATTTATTTGGTTACGTTCAACCTACGCCTTCTGATCTACTTGGCACGTGTTTCTTGGTAGCGGTGTTCATAGTTAATCTGAACTCGACACCACGCTACAGGACAATGTAAAACAATTCCTAGTTCTATACAGGAGTATTTAATCAACTGTGAACATACTGCTCCAAAAGACTCTTCTTTTAAACTAATCTACACAGTCAAAGGAATTAGACTGAAAGAAAGTTGAATCAATATTTTATGCATTGCTGATTCATTGGCAATCAAAGAACTCTAGCCTAAACTTTGCGTACAACCACGATTAATCCAACCTCACATCCCTTCTTTAGCCCTCATTCCTTTAATGGGTATGTTTCAGATTTTCTTTTTTACTTTCTTCTTCACTTTTGTTTGATTATTATTGAATTACTGTTTTGTAGTTTTGAGCTTTAAACAGTTATTATTGCCCTTAACTGACCCATAAATTATTTTCTTCTTTACCCATTGATTAGTATGTAACTGTACTGTTAGTTACTATGTTAAGCCCATATACTCTATTCTAGTTACTGAACAGGCTAATCTATTTATTCTAATTGAGTTACGTTTTAACCTTGTTCATTATTCCCTTATCAATCTTGACTGTTTTTATATGAGCGCATATTTGCGTGTACACTTCTTATCCTACGAACAGGAACTCCATGTGTGTAAATTCGAGATCCATTCATCACTACTCGTTATTGAAAAAAAACACTTGATAATTCAATATGAATGAGACGTTAAATTCGTTTAGTTCGGTGAATAGAAACAGAGAACAGTACTGTTTATTATTGGTTAGTTTTGTTGAATGGTGGAAGACGTTGTAGATTCAGTTTAAACTACATTTGAAGTTATGGATGAATATGAATATATGAAATGGTAATATATTTCACAATTATTGACTAGAACTTGTGAGATAGTAACTCACTGAAGTTGATGGTGGACGGTAGTGAACTTTCATGGATTGGTTGAAGTTAGACATTAACACCGTTGAATGTTGGCTTAGTGGTCTACAGGTTAAACGTTCTCGCGCGAGACCGATAGGTCCTGGGTTTGAGTGTGGCGTGTGGGATTATGGATGCACACTATTGAGGAGTCCCACAATAGGACTAAACGGCCGTCTAATGCTTCCAGGTTTTCCATGTTGATCTAGCTTTAATTGATTCATGAATTCAACCCTTAAATTACTAAAATCTCCACAAAACCCTCTTTTGATTTTATTTTACTGTTTAATACAAAAAAGTCATTAAGAGAAATCTTTTTTTGTTTCTTCAATGAAAATTTACTTCTGATATTCTAATGCCTTCAACTTCTCCCTTTCTTTATATTCTACTAAATCATATGTGATATATGATATGTAGCGTCGGTTACTATCTTAAACCCATATACTCTATTCTAATTTCTGAATAGTCCAATTTATTCATTCTTCATGAGTAACGTTTTAACCTTGTTCATTATTCACTTATCAACCCTGACTGTTTCTATGTGAGCGTATATGTATGAACTTCTTATCCTATTCATCATATATCCATAGTTTATGTTTGTGTAACTATAAATATTGATTAACGCTTGACTAAAAGAGGAGTTGGCTTACATGCCATCTCCTCTACACGTCATTTCGTTTCGTTCTCTTCTATTCGTTTCATCCCTCTGATTTCCTGTCCAGATCAGTGAATGTACCAAAATATGCTCATTCCCGAATTCATTCTCTTGATTGACTTATTTAATTCTACTATTGACTAACGTGATCAAAGTCGATAATTATATACGAGGATTGATGATATGTATACTTCGATGACAATCAGAAACGATTTGATTGGAGTCAGATCTTGGATCATTAAACAATCTCATTTGATATTTAGTCTTGAATCAACTTAATACTTTAATATATTCCATATTATCTATTCTTGATCTGATGGAAAGAAAAGTCAATTTTCGATTGAATTACTCATTATGAGTTTCATTCAACATCCAACATCCGTTTTGATTCAACGTGAGGATCATTCAGAGTACTATTTGATTTGTTTTCTCAGTATGATATTTTCTTCTGTATAATATACGATATTCTTGTATTCCATTGACATGAACTATGCTCAGTAAGTAATTTGTTATAACTGAATATGTGATCTAATCCTAATTAATAATCAAAATAGGTGTACAATCAATTTATAAACCAGAGTATTTTCTATTAGAATCGTCGTCGACGTGTTTTGGGGTTAATAAGTCATCACTTATACCAGTCTTGTGTGTTCTTACTTTCGCATCATGGGAATTGCCGTGGTCCCTCGTTCCGAGTATAAGTGACCAGCGTGTTTGCGGCACAGCAATCTGTGACAACCGAATATAACAATTCTTTAAAGGAATAAATGGAAGCTTCATTGTGACTTATAAAACCAATGTCGTCTTAGAAGAAAAATATGTTTGAAATTGTACTTTGGTATAGATGAAGCAATAATAAAGTACTGTTGAAAAATGTGTTATTTATAGACGGTTTTTTAAAGCATGTTTAAAAGATAAATGGATAACTTATTTTTGTATTATTTGTTTAAATCTTCCCATTGATGTTTGGTCAGTCAATCAGTCAGATACAATGTAGGACCAGGCACATATATGTGCATCCGCCCAAGTTGACATACCTCATTAACACAACAACATGAACACCGGATTCATAAAAGTAGTTAATTTAGAGGTGTTAATATATAAAAGAATGGTTGCAATAAGGATATAGTACACGAAGAAAGAATTAATTCGTAGAAAGAAAGATATGAAGCGATTTTAATCTCATAGTTTAAGGGAAGACAGAGAGTGTATACACCGACGCCATTGTGATCGATTCTGAGCCATGTCACAGACAGTCTCAACCATTGGTGAGGATAGTCACTCGGACCCCAACCAACTAGTCTGCATCCACCAACATGGCTCAGACCAGAAGTTAGTGACTTCAAGCACTGATGCCACGTTTTGGTTTGTCCGCCCCTAACTTTCTTCCAACCATCTCCAACACCGGTTAGCATTGCACGTTTGGGATTGTTATTGATCAGTCTTTGAGTGAATATCAATCTTTGCATGTAGGTACATCCAGATGATGAAAATCAAATAGGAAAAAACATGCATCCTGGATTCCTTTTGCTAACTACCATCTATCTTTGCTTAAAGGTTAGATGACAAAATTTTTCGGCCAGCTTATTAGTTTTTTTTGGACGAATCAGTCAGATATAGGATAATAAGGTCTCGGATTTTGGCACGAAATTCATTCATCCATTTGGCTAAATAGAGTTTTGGCATTATAGCTGATGTCAGTTCGTGATAAAAACCCTAAATTTAATTTCTAATCTTAATTATCAACAATAAATCATAACTGTAATCCCCCACAATGTTTCATAACCCTGATTTGGTCCTAGTTACTAGGTCAACACTCTCAAGGTCACTTTGGGGTCATTCAAAGGTCATCCATAAGTTATAATCTCACCAATTGTTCTATTACAAACATGCTATACAGAATTAAGCATTAATATCCTACTTATTAATTATTTTAATATATAACATCATTTAGAACAGAATTAAGGCAGATGACTTTAGTGTATACAATAAAGAATTCTCCCGTAATATGTGATGTTTTTCAAGTGTGTGTGTCCTCAGTAACGTTGATATTTGTATGCCATCCACATGTCCATTACACAATACACATGGTTATGTGCAGATTGTGGAAACCTTCATGGTCAAATCTCTGGTATAGATGATAGCTTGTGAAAATCTATTTGTGTGAAGATAAGATTCATTAACCAGCAAAACTATGAAGATTGCGAAATAGAAGCGGATATGAAAAGGATGAATAGGAACTGGAAGAAGCTGGAAAGGATTGCCGAGGATAGGTTTGGATGGAGAATGCTTGTGAGCCGCCTATGCTCCTTCACGAGTAGTAACAGGCGTAAGTAAGTGTGGATTATAACCATCAAAGACTCTCAAATTACATATTGTTGAATAGTATGAACTTGTTTGATGATCATGAATATCCAGTCATTTTGACCAAAAATAATGATGCCTATAAGCTGGCGTCCATTCTATATTCATTTTAACAGCATAATATTATTAATTATTCCTGTCATCACAACCTTAGCGTTAGATCCCTTAAACTAAATCATTGTAATCCTATTGATAACTTTTTTGAGGTACAGATACTGTTGTAGTGAATGAGAACACTGGGAGGGATTAACCAAATGCATTTCAGCACAACATTACAAAATAACTTGGTAAAATCTGAAATCCGTACGGTAAATGTCTATCAAATGTTTCACATTTCGTTGTTCTTTTGTTTCTAAACCTATCACTTTCTGTTTTCATTCTCTTTTCTTTGATCTTTTTAACCTTCTGCCACTAGACATTTCACTTTCAATTGATAATACATACTACTTATATCTATCGATATCAGTAGCACACATCACACTTTCATTAAATACAAAGTAAGTAGTTCATTGAATGTATAAACAACTTTCAACAAATGACTTCATACACTTTATACTGTTTATATTACTCATGCATTTGTTAGTACTATTGATTAATTTGCAATAAAACAGAGAATTGTAAATCCAAAAAAAACAAAAATACCATGGACTGATATGTGTTTTGAACTCTGCCTGGAGCCCTTCTGGAGCTACCGTAGGATTCAATTCCGAATAAAACAGGAGGGTTGAATATGGGATTAGCGATCCCATCCTGTAGAAAACTAACTTGCTAAAAAAAAACGCTAACCAGATATGTGCTTTTTATAGTCTATTCATAATTTATATTAAACAGTATAAAAATGGATAGTTTTGAAAGTTGTAAATATAAATTACACAACAGGTAATTGAAATGTTGACGGTAACCATTTCTTCATATGATAATATTGTTTCATTCTTGAATCAGCATAACTATAATAAATCAATAAATGAATCAATCAATATATGGATGAATGAAACAGAAATCATTGATAATCATTATCATAATTGTAAATATCGATTAATTAATTAGTTTGAAGTAGGAAATATGTCAAGTACATCATTCATGAACTATTCTGTGTGATCCTTGATTATTCTGTCATTCTATTACTGTTTAGTGATGAAATGAAAGAATTCCTATGAATCGTCGATGATTACTTGAAAAATTCTTCAGAGGACAGATTACTTACTTACTTATGCCTGTTGCCACTTGTGGAGGAGCATAGGCCGCTCACTAGTATTCTCCATACAACTCTGTTTTGGACAATCTCTTTCAGTTCTTTTCAGTTGCTATTCATCTTTTTCATATTTTCCTCTGATTCCTAATGCAATATGTTTTTTTGGTCTTCCTCTTTTCCGATTCCCTTCAGGATTTCAAGTTACGGTTTGCCTCGTGATGCAGTTTGATGATTTCTGTAATGTATTTCCTATTCACTTCCAGGGTCTTTTCCTAATTTCCTTTTCAAATGGAACCTGGTTTGTTCTCTTCCATAGTGGGCTGTTGCTGAGAGTATATTGTGTAGACAATTGTTTATAAATAATTGTACATTTTTGATGATGTTTCAAGTAAGCAGCCTTGTCTGACTCCGGTCCTCACTTGGAATGTGTCTCTCAGCTGTCGTCCATGCACAAATTTGCACTGTAATCCGTCTTATGAATTCTGGATGATGAGAGGACAGATAAAAGGGTGAAGATGCATCGATCATTTAACATTCCTCCCAAATTCCTAAAAAACGACTAAGTAATTGTACACTTATAGATTCGATTGCCAATGGTTTCTACCATGTTTTTCAAAAGATTCTTCGATTTCAATGTCACACTTAATCTTAAAAACATCCATATTTTCTGTAAATGAACTAATTAACTTTCATAGTAAAGCTTTTTCGGTACTTTTAGATCTGTGTTTTCTGTTCGGAATTCAAGAGTAGATGGAATATTTAAGTGAATAGAGAAGCGGTTAAGTAGTCCACCAGAGTTTAAGCGTTCAAGTACAATAAGAATCAGTAGCAACAATCTATTCAATAGCTTAGGTGTAAGCAAACTACCTAGCGTTCCGTTTTTAATTGAGATCATGAATCGATTGATGTTAGACCACCATTGAAAATCTGGAAGCACTGGACGGCCGTCTCGTCCTATTATGGGACTCCTCAACAGTGTGCATCCAAGATCTCGCTCGCGAGATTCGAACATCAATCGATTCATGATCTCACTCAGAAACTTAATAGTCTCCACAACCCTATACTGATAATTACCGCTCTATGCCTGTGAAAAACTATATATGAAGGTAGAAGGTGTATGAAGATTAGAAGTATTTGACCCTAGCTGTCTGTGAAACATTGTTTATTTTCATGGTAGCACAGAGAGAGAAATACTAAGGCTAAAAGTATGTTATTGAGTAAATAAAGCAAGTCAACTTTAATTAATCAAGAGAGCTAAGACAGGTGTTAATATTGTCTGTTCGACCCAGAATTTCGGCAAGAAAAAAGGTGAGGGCAAAATGATCAAGAAATGACAACTATCCGTGAATTTCTGAACTGGCGCTTTTATTCACGTCAGTAGATGCTAACTTCCTGATCGAAAGCCGGGTGATATTCATAGTCAAGTGTTGTAGATGTTGATAATTTTCTTTCTTGTTATCTTTAAGTGAGGCTCTGTCTTGATGATAACCGAATGACTGAAAATGAAGTGACAGATGAAACCCTTTAATCTTGAATGAAATATATGAATTGATATGCTGAACGGTAAACATTAGCTATCCTAGCATCTCTTAATACCATACCTATTGTTCCTAAGCATAACGAGTAACCTAGTTTGACTGAACTTGAGAATGTAAACTATTCATTGTCAATGAATTGATTTGGAGGGGAATCCACAACGGTAGATATCCATGACCTGATCACGAATCGAACTCAAGGCTGTGAAGTATCAAGATATATATCAATTACTTTCTGCTTTCTAAAGCTTGTTTCACCAAAGTCTCCCTACCATTTGAAAGATGGAAAATGACTTTGTAATTTACCCCTAATCGAAAGAAAAAGACACAATAACTTACGCTAGAAAATCCATAGAATATAAGTTTTCCGATGCACAAATTACTGCCCAAACAGCCCAAAGTAAATGAGATACCTAAAATTAGGGGAAGAAAAGTGTAGTTCACCATAATGTAACGGCATATATTAATTGAACAGTTAAAAGGCGAAAGATTTATCCGCGAATGAGGAGACACCAGAGTTATTTGCCCCAAAATACCCTGGTATGGTTGATGGTGGGGAGAGTTTGCTCTCCCTCTAAAAATGCTCTCACATGACCACGCGTATATAGCCTCTGCCACGGAAGTCCTACTTACTGCCTTCTCGTGGAGTAGGTGTTGTTTAGGAAATTGAGAGGACGAAAAGCGAATGTCCGGCTCTTTAACCGGCTTGGTGGACACGGAGTGTCCACCTAGGGCAGTTGGAAAACCATGATCCCAAATCAATGGTGCACATGTGCTCCAGTATCCTGAAGGAAAAAATGATGTGTGAACCAATTGTTGTTCACAGGCTACCATGGGACTGCATCTCCTTACGATGCTCCACTGTCTTGTGGATCAGACCTTCAGGTCGAAGGCTCCGGGTGTGGACCTCTAAGGAAACCACGTGCATCGGTTGGGGAACCCAGGCAGTATCCTAGGGCTCACATAAATTGGTTTGATGCCTTCTTGTACCAATGTTTACATGTTCAAATAATGATAATAATAATAAATAATTAACTAGTTAGTTTTCCCTCTCCACAGCAGTCGTTAAATTCACGAATTGATCTAAGCTAAACCACCATTGGAAACCTGGAAATATTGGACGGCCGTTTCATTCTAGTATGAGATTCATCGGCAGTGAGTATTTACAACCTCACTTCCAGTTTTTCAACGGTGATCTAGCTTAGACTGACTAGTGAATTCAACTAAACGTTTAGACACATATTCATTCAGACTTTAGATAGTTGTAAGTAGTTGGCAGGATGCACTGGACATAAAGTCTAACCGAGTCCCAAGTATATCAGAAGAGAACACAACCTGTTAACTGGGATGAATAAGCATAATTATAATTCACCATAATTTTTTTTACCCAGCCAAAGTAAAATTGATAACAGACTCAATGACGTATGTTGACTGGTTTGAAATCTGAGAAAACTATCTAATTGGATTATTCAGATCACACAGCAACATAATCTAAGATACATAGTACATGAATTTCCATTTTTCTGGCTCGAATTTGCTGAGATCACCGGGTAAGTAATAGTAAGGTAAGACTCATGGTATTAGAGAATGATGATGCTAAATCAGTTGATGACACTGTGAATCTTCATCGAACGAGATGGTTGGGTCACATATTTCGAATGCTTGACCACCGGTTACCGCGGCGCACAATTCTGACTAGTGTTGGAGATGATTGGGAGGAAGTTAGTGGCGGCCAAACCAAAACGTGGCATCAGTGCTTGAAGTCACTAAATTCTGGTGTAAGCCATGTTGGTAGATGCAGACTAGTTGGTTGGGGTCCGCGTGACTATCATAACCAATGGTTTGAAACTGCGTGTGACATGTCTCAGAAATGATCGAAATGTTGTCTGTGTACACACTCTTTGTGTTCTCTTAAACTATGAGATTAAAATCGCTTCATATCTTTCTTTCGACGAACTAACTCTTCCTTCTTGTACTATATCCTTATATGCAATCTTTCTTTTACATAATACCACCATTGAGCTAACTACTTCTATGACTTTGGTGTTCATATTGTTGTGCTAATGAGGTATAATAACTTGAACTGATGCATATATGTGCCTGGTCCTACGTTGTAGAAGACTAACCAACTGGCTAATATTACGAAATAGTAGTGTTTAACTGTGTCTCTTATTATCACTTACCTTACCCAGGATCGGCAGCCTATGCTCCATTGGGGGTAACAGGAGTAAGTAAGTAAGTAACTAAGTAAACAATGATTTCATTTTCATCAAATTGACTATTGTAATTGTAAAGCAATGATTATCCCGACATATAACTTTCTCATTTCAACCTAATGTAATACAAAGTAAGCTTTTGCCTTTATCTCCAAAATCAGTCTGAACATTTAGGACTATCTATTGGCATTGAAAATGTTTCTATCTATACTAATTAATGATCTAAAATTAGATTAAAATGTTCTAATACAGATTTTCACATAGGTCTTTATCATTTGAACAGTCAATTCGGTGAGACTATAAATTATGAACGAACCCATCATGTATAAGATAAAGGGTCTCGAATTCGGGTGTGAAATTCATTCATCCATTTGGCTAAATAGCATTTTGGTATTATAGCTTATGTCAGTTCGTCATGAAAACTGTAAATCTAATTCTTAACCTTAATCATCAACTGTATATCATAATTTTGATGGAGTTTTGTCCTCTGAGCTGGATGATTTGGTCGTGGAGTTTTCATAGTTCTTCTGAACGACATCATCAGCACAAACTTCAGATAGAAGTAAAGTGTTCGAATTTCACCATATGGGTATATCATAATTCCAATTCCTCACACAGGTTTAGTCCTAATCACTAGGTGAACACCCTCAAGGTCACTTTGGCGTCGCTCAAATTTCGTCCATAAATTTTAGTTTCACCGTCCATTCAACATGATTACATTTAACTTAAATCTTCTATCATACAAATTAAAGAGAAGTTTTCTATTAGAACCATTTCGTCATCGTCATCGTCGTCGTCGTCGTCGCCATGTATCGATCTCATTTCAACTTGAATCACTTTATGATATACCACAACAATGGAAAATATATCAACTATAATTCAATCTATTCATTCTAGTGATTAAATGTTTATCTAAGTCTATCTCGATCCATTACATTATCTATGTGAACATATTCACTAATTCATTGAATGATAACACATCGTTTAACTTACTAATGCAAAACAATTAATCTCTTTAATCCATTGATTTATATCATCTTCTTTAGATCTATTCCATTGTAATTCATTATAATGAAGATCTGATTTTGAATTAGAATATTGATAATAGGCTGTTAAATAGATGTTTATCCATTCTTTTTGATATTCAATTGAAGGATAACGTTTAAACTCTATTGCATATGGTCCTGTAATGAATTGTTATAATGACAACAAAGAAAACAACAACAACAATAACAACGTTGGTTAACAATATAAAGAAAAAAAGATAAGTATATTTTAAACAAAAATCGATAGTGATTAACAATGGGATTTAGGTTGAAGCGTGTTTCGTTCTTTTGAGGACTCATCAGGGGAATGTATCTACATCTCATTGTCTTAAAACAATAGTAATTAAACTGTAATGAAAACTTACCAGTAAATTCACAAAAATGATTACCAATATCGTATGCAGCATAGTTTAAGTCACAATATTCCATGTCAATCAGATGGACAGAATCTATTAAAGCATTAAAAAAAGATACAGATATATGTACACTAAAATCCATTTTCTTTTTTAGTGTAATATAATGTATATGACTAAAATGATAAGAGATCAATAAAATATGGAAATATTTGATCGATTTGGTGGGAAATTTTATCGCTAAGTTATATCTGATGGATACTGGCTAGCAATGGGATCCAGTTTGATTCGCGTTTCGTTCTATTCGGGACTTGTCAGCTGGATATATCTGAATCTTAGAGTTGATGTTCACTCCAGAACTCGAACCTTCAACCGTTCACTGCAAACACTAACACGTTATCCACTAAGCCACTGAGTTCTGATAGCCACCTGAGTACAATGGGGTGAAGTTTAAATTCGCTTGGTATTGTTTACTTGAATCTTCCCATTGATATTTAGGACGGCGATCGATTAGTCTTTTGTGGAGATTGTAGTAATTCCAATAGTTGAGATCATGAGTTAATTGAAGCTAGACCACCATGGAAAACCTAGGAGCACTGGACAGCCGTTTCGCCCTATTGTGGGACTCCTCGACAGTGCGCATCCACAACCCTGCCTCACGGGATTCGAACCCAGGGACTATCCGTCTCGCACCAGGCGCTTAACCAACTAGACCAATGAGCCGGCATTCAACTGTGTTACTGTTTAACTTGAACTAATCCACGAAATTCAGCGACACATCCACCATTGTCATCAGTGAGTTACTACTTCACAACCGACCCGGTTGAACTCTACTGGTCACTGCTTCTCACTAGAACTCCAGGATATATCTTTTGAAGCCAGTCACTAGTGAGCATATGTTGATTAGTACCAGAAGGGGTCTTGTGGAGATTGTAGTAATTTCAATAGTTGAGATCATGAGTCGCCTGGCGCGAGACTGATGTTCCCTGGGTTCGAGTCCCGTGAGGCAGGGTTGTGGATGCGCACTGTCGAGGAGTCCTACAATAGGGCAAAACGGCTGTCCAGTGCTTTCAGGTTTTCCATGATGGTCTAGCTTCAATTGACTCATGATCTCAACTATTGAAAATTATATGTTACTCAAGAAAGAATTTAGATCAAAGCCAGATTGGTTGATTGACTAGGTAACTAAAAGTGAGTACTAATGTATACCAATAAAATTAAAGTACTTCAAATAATTATGAACTAGATGTGAAAAACGTTTAACCTAGTTACACTACTGATCTATTATGACTATCCTTAATTTTTGTTGTACATACGCCAACTTTACTAGCACGAAGGGTTACAAGTGAATATACTGTATGTGTTTATATTGTACTACATTATGTTAGGTAGAATTTCCAATGTTTTTGCTTATTGAAGTTTTGAGTCTCAATAGAAATAGACTTCAAGTGATTACACTTAAGTTCTGAGGCAACTGTATGTCAGTAGTAATTAGTCTTGTTATATACATGATACATCTTAAATTCGAACGCTTGGTAATGACTTTCTAGCCTCTTTCTAGATCTCCATATTTCCCCTATAGTTTATTATTGAACAGGGGAGAAAAGGTGTGAAGTACGAATAGATGTTTAACATCAAAGTAACTTTGACCTTCTCTAAACTTCTAAAAGTGTATTAAACCTAATAACAAAAAAAAGTAGATGATCATTCAGACAAAGTGTGTCAAATAATCCATCGATTTTCTAACTGGTCTTAAGGAGTTCTTAATGGATACTGATTTTAACGAAAAAATGTTTTTAAGCTTTTCGTGACTTTCAAAGAGTTAACTGAAAGATATTTGTACTCACTTTCATCTGGAGCCAGTATAATGTTAGCTGCATTCAGATCATTATGGCATAAAACTACTTTAGATATAGGACTGTTAAGATATTGATCTTTCAATTTGATTACTTCATTGAATATATAAGATTTACTTGGAAAAATTGATTCATATCTGAAAAGTTATAAGTAATAATTATAAAACAAAGAAAAAATATGGAGTAACGTTGTAGTTCCCGGTAGTTTTGATTGATTCATCAAAACAGTTAGATAACTTTATCTAAAGTGAAATCATGAAGCAATGAAGATGATGCCCCCAAATGCCTTGGTACGGCCGAGAGTGGGGAGAGTCCGCTCTCTCTCTCTCTCTCGAAATGCTCTTACATGACCACGCGTATACAGCCTCTGCCAGGGAAGTCCTACTCATTGCCTTCTCGTGGCGGGGGTGTTGTTTACGAAATTGAGAGGACGAAAAGTGAATGTCCGACGCTTTAACCGGGTTCGGTTGACACGGAGAGTCCACCTAGGGAAGTTGGAAAACCATGATCCCAAACCAATGGTGGAAATGGGTTCCATAATCCTGAAGGAATAAATGGCGTATGAACCAATCGTTGGTCACCGGCTACCATGGGACTGCATCTCCTTACGATGCTCCATTGCCTTGTGGATCTGACCTTCAGGTCGAAGGCTCGGGGTGCGCCCCCCTAGGAAAGCCACCTGCTTTGGTTTGGGCACCCGGACAGTATCACAGTCCTCACATATATCGAATGAGATTTGTGTGGCGCATACGTATTTGGTGCCCTCTTGTACGAATATCTATGTGTTAAAATAAAATAAAAAATAAAATGAAGATGATGAAATGTTTCTCTTAGGATGAGAGATCATTATTTAGTTTACATTATGGATTAGATTAAATTAAACAATTCATGTTATTCAAAGGGTATCGGACTGAACCACTAAATAAACTAAAAATTGTCCGAAAATGCTTGAGAAACTACACACACACATTGAACAGTGAAAAAAATCGGTGGCTAGTGGAGTTTGACGATGTCGGATTTGAGGAAGGTAGGTACTCATCAAAGATAGTGAAAGGTGTTCGTGCAATATCGTAAACTGGTCAAAGTAACACATGTGCATCCTTGGATCCTAGATCAATGGTATAGAGGTTGGACGTTCTCTCTTGATACCAAAAATCCTGGGTTCGATTCCAGCGTGCGGATTCGGTGATGCACACTGCTAAGATGTTTCATACTAAGACGAAACAGCCGTCCACTGTTCCCAGGTTTTCATTGGTCGTCTAACCTCATACATTTTGTGATCTCAATAACAATCCTCATACTGGAAAATATTTCGTATTTTTGAAGTTTTTTTAAGTTGTGAAATGAAAGCTTCTTTGTATTCTTACTAGTTTTTCTGTACAGTATGGTATAAACTTCTTCCTCTTTTCCGCTTCCATTCAAGATTCCAAGTTATGGCTTGTCTCGTGATGCAGTTTGGTGATCTCTGTTATGTATGTTCTATCCACTTCCAACGTTTTTCCCGAATTTCCTCTTCCGCTGAAAGCAGGTTTGTTCTATTCCACAGTAAGCCGTTTCCGATAGTATCCGGTCAACGGACATTCAGTACATTCTTGATGACGGTTATAGCAATTCTCCATGTTTCAGCTCCGTTCAATAGAACTGTCATAATATTCTTATTAAAGATTCTGACTTTGATATTAGTTGGCAGTTGTTTTCAGTTCCATATGTTCTTCAGCTGTAGGAATGCAGCCCTTGCTTGGCCAATTCTCGCCTTTACATCTTGATCGGATCCTCCTTGTTCATTGATGATACTTCCCAGGTACGTGAAAGATTCAACATCTTTCAGAGTTTCACCATCAAGTATGATATTTATGTATATGTTGAAACAACCTACTAATTTTGTCTGTTGTTTTACAATTGGTGTAGATATGAATTGAATAACAAATGAAGTCGAAGATAACGATAGTTACTACTTACTTACTTACTTACGCCTGTTACTCCTCGTGAAGGAGCATAGGCCGCTCACCAGCATTCTCCATCCAACCCTGTCCTGGGCAATCCTTTCTAGCTCCGTCCAGTTCCTATTCATCCTTTTCATATCTGCTTCTATTATCCGACGCAATGTGTTCTTTGGCCTTCCTCTTTTTCGCTTCCCTTCAGGATTCCAAGTTAGGGCTTGCCTCGTGATGCAGTTTGACGATTTGCGTAATGTATGTCCTATCCATTTCCATCGTCTTTTCCTAATTTCTTCTTCAGCTGGAAGTTGGTTTGTTCTCTCCCACAGAAGGCTATTGCTGATGGTATCCGGCCAATGGATGTTGAGTATCTTGCGTAGACAGTTATTTATAAATACTTGTACTTTCTTGATTGTGGTTGTTGTAGTTCTCCAAGTTTCAGCTCCGTACAGTAGAACTGCCTTGACGTTCGTATTGAAGATTGGGACTTTGATATTGGTTGAAAGTTGTTTTAAGTTCCATATGTTCTTCAATTGTAGGAATGCAACCCCTGCTTTGCTAATCTTTGCCTTCACATCTGCATCTGAACCTTTTTGTTCATCGATGATGCTTCCTAGGCATGTGAAGGACTCTACATCTTCCAGAGTTTCGCCATCAAGTGTGATTGGATTGCTGTTCTCCGCTTTGAATTTGAGGACCTTAGTTTTCCCTTTGTGTATGCTGAGGCCTACTGATGCAGAGACTGCTGCTACACTGGCTGTCTTCATCTGCATCTGTTCGTGTGTACGTGATAGGAGGGCTAGGTCATCTGCGAAGTCCAAATCGTCTAATTGATTCTGAGCTGTCCATTGTATTCCGTGTTTTCCTTCAGATTTTGAGGTCTTCATAATCCAGTCGACCACCAGAAGAAAGAGGAAGGGAGAGAGTAAACAGCCTTGTCTGACTCCGGTCCTTACTTGGAATGCATCTGTCAGCTGTCCTCCATGCACTACTTTGCACTGTAGTCCGTCGTATGAGTTCCGGATAATATTGACAATCTTCTCAGGAACTCCGTAGTGTCGAAGAAGTTTCCATAATGTCCTCCTATCTACACTGTCGAATGCCTTTTCATAATCGATGAAGTTGATGTATAGTGACGAGTTCCACTCAACTGATTGTTCAACGATGATCCGTAGTGTTGCAATTTGGTCTGTGCACGACCGATCCTTACGGAATCCAGCTTGTTGATCTCGAAGTTGGGCGTCTACTGCATCCTTCATCCGGTTCAGCAACACTCTGTTGAAGACTTTCCCTGGTATTGACAGTAGTGTAATGCCTCTGTAGTTTTCACATTTGCTCAGATCTCCTTTCTTTGGAATCTTGATGAGGTGTCCTTCTTTCCAGTCCATCGGCACTTGTTCCTTCTCCCAAATCTTTTTGAATAGAAGATAAAGCATGCTTGTGGTAGCTTCGATGTCTGATTTCAGTGCTTCAGCTGGTATGTTGTCGGGTCCTGCTGCTTTCCCGTTCTTGATTTGTCTGACGGCCATTCTAATTTCTTCCGTAGTTGGTGGATTGACATCTATAGGAAGATCTATGTGTGCTGCTTCGATGTCCGGTGGATTCATTGGAGCCGGCCTATTCAGGAGTTCCTCGAAGTATTCTACCCATCTGTTCCGCTGTTGTTGAATTTCGGTGATTGGCTTGCCTTCTTTGTCTTTGACCGGCCTCTCTGGTTTACTGTATTTCTCTGATAGTTTCTTCGTTGTATCATAAAGCTGTTTCATATTTCCTTCTCTAGCAGCTTTTTCTGCCGTCGTTGCTAGTTCTTCCACGTATTTCGTCTTGTCGGCTCTAATGCTCCTCTTCACTTGTTTGTTTGCTTCTATGTATTCAGCTTGTGCTTGGACTTTCTCTGCTCGTGTTCGGCTGTTGTTTATTGCTGCCTTCTTGTTCTTCCTTTCTTTGATCTTGTCCAGTGTTTCTATAGAGATCCATTCCTTATGATGGTATTTCTTTAGACCGAGAACCTCTTGACACGTTGAAGTTAATGCTTCCTTGATGCTTTTCCAGTTGTCCTCCATAGTAGTTTCTTCTTCTTTCAGTAGATCTTGTAAGGCTTGGAACCTGTTGTTGAGAGCTATCTTGAATTCATTGAGTTTGACAGTATCTCGAAGGAAGGCTGTATTGAACCTTGGTATTGCTGTTTGTCCACTTCTCCAGTTCTTTTTTAGCTTCAGTTTTAAATTGGCTACAACTAAGTGGTGATCTGAAGCTACGTCAGCACCTCTCCTGGTTCTCACATCTTCCATTGTCCTTCGGAATTTTTTGTTGATGCAAATATGATCTATTTGGTTCTCTGTAGTGTGGTCCGGTGAGATCCATGTAGCCTTGTGTATACGCTTGTGTAGAAATATTGTGCCGCCTATGACCAATTTGTTGAATGCACATAGATTTGCAAATCTCTCTCCATTTTCGTTTCTCTGTCCCAGTCCATGTCGTCCCATAATATCTTCATATCCGGTGTTGTCTATTCCGACTTTGGCATTTAGATCTCCCATCAGGATGGTGAGGTCCTTTCTTGGGCATTTCTCAATGATTGACTGCAGCCGCTCGTAGAACTGATCTTTAATTTCGTCGTTGCTATCATTGGTGGGTGCATAACATTGGATAATATTCATTAAGATCCCCTCCTTCTTTGTTTTGAATGATGCTTTGATGATTCTGGATCCGTGAGGTTCCCATCCTACAAGTGCATTTCGTGCTACTTTGGACAGCATAAGAGCGACTCCCTGAGTGTGTGGAGCATTTTCCTCTTCGTGACCGGAGTATAGCAGCATCTCTCCCGTAGCTAGCCTTTTCTGTCCAGCTTGGGTCCAGTGGGTTTCGCTGATTCCCAGTACTGCTAAGTTGTATCTCCTCATTTCCATTGATATTTGACTGGTCTTCCCGGTTTCCCACATTGTTCGAACGTTCCATGTACCTATAAAAATTTTTGCTCTGGTTGTTAGAAGGGGCATCGGCCTCGTGGCTTCCGAAGGAACTCGGCTTTCACCATGAAGCGTCATAATTCTTCTAAATGAAGACCTTCTAACTCCCAGGGCAGAGTTAAAATGGTTTGGATTATTTTTTCTGGTAAGCGTTTGTTTAGCGAGTTAGTTTTCTACGGGATGGGGACGCTAACCCCATGCCCAACCCTCCTCCTTTACCCGGGCTTGGGACCGGCAGCAACCCTATAAGAGCTACAGGCGGAGTTACGATAGTTACTAAGATGACTGTTATGTTTAGAACCATAATTGTTAGTCAATGATATCGGTGAAAATGGCTAATAAGAAAAGCTTTGCAAAAGTTGATTTACTGAAACTAACCACAATTCCGAATTCTACAATTAATTTATCATAGAACTGTAAATGGGGATAGATTTATTTAATTCACATTTGAGTTGACTTGTGGTGCGTGCTACTTATATTGACATAAGTAGTATATAAAATGAGTCAGGAATGTAATGTCTAGCAGCAGAACATGGGGAATATCAAGAAAGGAAGAGCGGGAATAGAAAGCAATTAATATGGAAGTGCAAGAACAACGAAGTTCGAGACAATTATTGAACATTTTGCAAGTGAAGTATTATAGTATGGTATTTCTATTTTACCAAGTAACTCTGTAATTGTGTACTAAACATGATTCGGCTGTCCTTGCCTATGTTCTCCTTCACTTCAGACCTTTCTATATTAACTAATCCGTTCTTCTATTGTAATTCGCTGGTTGAACGAATACACTCTTGGGATTCAGGAGAAATGTTTAATATGCTTCGGTCTTGTAACAGGACAAGTAATGGAAAAGTTGAAACGTTTGGAACTCCTTCAAGCATTAGTACTATTTATTTCATTGCTGAATAGTCGGATAATTGTATCTCTATATTCCCTTATATATTTCCTAATAATTATTCTCCTCTTGATTTTATTCTTTATTAATTATGACTTGGGTATTTGTAATGTAAATATTTTCTAATTTGTATATCACTAGAGGTATCAATTTATTTCCTCATTGACAATTTGCCTCATTGGAAAAGTTCCAAATAATTGTTGTCATTCAAAGAATAAAAAATAATATCGTCAATTCTATCTGTATTTCTGTGAGGATGGTCCATAGGTGAACTCGAGGAAGCTGTAAGAAACTCAGAAAGTGCCGAAGATATTCCATTCAATCATCTTTTAGAAGAATATTCCAGAATCCCGATGTGTAGCTTCCTATTGGACAAATGTTAATAACCCCGTGTATGCGGATTGGAGGACTATAATGATGATTTCGTTTTTATTAAAAACTATAAATACCCGACAGTTTTGTACCATAATTGTCACTATTTGGAATAAAATTCCTTTCACTTGACTTCTGTCTTCTCATTTGCAACCACGGAGGGTTCTAACGTTTGAGTGCTCAAGTTACACGCAGCATAGTAAGAATCTAAGCTCTAGATATAACAATTTCATATACAGTACTCAAAACATGATTGATGTAGCATGTATGTGAAGATTCTTGAATTTTATCAGTTCCATCACTAACTAATTCCAGATAACCGTTGAAAATCAGGAGTTACTAGACAGTTGTTTCGTCACTAAATGGGACAACCTAGTGATATCATGCAACTAAGGGATCGAACTCAGAACGTCATGACAAGCGCTTAACATTTAGACCGCTGAGTCAGTAATTCATAACTTACATTTTCAAATCCAATCATTTCGTAATAGTTCACAATGACCTTCAAATGTCGTTGATGTGCGAATGTTCTGCTTCCGAACTGTACTTTTGGTCAGTCAGTCAGCTACAACGTAGCACCACGCACATATATGCATCAGTTCAAGTAGCCATAACTCATTAGCACAGCAACATTAACACCAAACTCATAGAACTAGTTACTTCAATCGTGGTATTATGTAAAAGAAAGATTGCATATAAGAACATAGTACAAGAATAAAGAATCAGTTGGTAGAAAGAAAAATATGAAGCGATTTCAATCTCATAGTTTAAGGGAAGACAAAGAGTGTGTACACAGACAACATTTCGATCATTTCTGAGACATGTCACACACAGTCTCAAACCATTAGTTACGATAGTCACCACGGACCCCAACCAACTAGTCTGCATCTACCAACATGGCTCAAACAAGAAGTTAGTGACTTCAAGAAATGATGACACGTTTTGGTTTGTCCATCATTCACTTTCTCCCAACCATTCCATACACTAGTCAGCATTGTGTGTCGTGATAACCGGTGTTCAGATGTACGTAACAGGTGGTCCAACCATCTCAGTCGATGAAGATTCACAACCTCATCGACTGATTTACCATCATCATTCTCTCATACCCTGAGTTTAACCTTACTGTTACTTACCCGGTGATCCCAGCATGACCATCATTTTGTAGCTGTATATACAGATATACTTAGATAACAAATAGTAGTATTAACAGTAATATAGTTAGTTTGTTTAAAAAAATATTCTTACTTTTTTAATTTTCTTGATAAATTAATAAATTCATCATCAAGTCTATTGATCCATTTGAATAGGGTTGGAAATAATTGGGATTCTGGATTCAATTTCTTATTTTGTTGTTGTATAAATTCATCAATCGATAAACAATGTAATTGAGCTAATTTCTCTGCAATTAATCTATTTTATGAATGATGTAAAAATCAATAATATTTTTGTATCTAAGTACTAATTAGTTTTAATAATGTATATATATTGATAATAATGATATTATCCAATATGGCTACGCGTATATAGCCTCTACCAGGGAAGTCCTACTCACTGACTTCTCGTGGCATAGGTGTTGTTTACGAAATTGAGAGGACGAATAGTGAATGTCCACCTCTTTAACCGGGCTTGGTGGACACAAAGAATCCACCCAGAGGAGTTGGAAAACCCTGATTCCAAACTAATGGTACAAATGGGTTCCAGTATCCTGAAGAGACGAATGGCTCATGAACCAGTCGTTGGACGCCGGCAACCATGGGACTACATCTCCTCACGTTGCTCCATTGCCTTGTGGATCAGACCTTTAGGTCAAAGGCTCAGGGTGTGGCCCCTAAGAAAACCACCTGGTTCGGTTTGGGTACCCGAGCAGTATCCCAGCCCTCACACAAATCAAATGAGATTTGTGTGGCGCATATATATTTGGTGCCTCTTTGTACCAGTACTTATGTGTTCAAATAAGTAATATAAATAGTCAGTAACAACGTAGAACTTCGTACGTACGTACATCAGTTCGACTTGCCATGCTACATTAGCACAGAGATACAATTGTCGATTCAAATCTCATAGTGGTAGAGGTAGTAAGAGTATAAGCAGTAATCGGAAAGATTAAGATTCGAAGAGGGACATAAAGAATTCAGAAGATTAGAATTCGAGAGAATACAAATAGTGGATACACTTGAGCGCAATTGCAAACGATTTTGAGCCATGTCATCTAATTTCTACATCTTATCTCCTATCTCCATGATCTGTAAAACATACTGAAACTTGATAGATAGAAACTGATCGACAAACGTGACACTTATTGATCAGTCAATTATAAACGCTCAAGTCTTATAAGAGTTCAATCCCGCCTCACATAGTCAACTGATAACATCTCCAATTGTAACTCAGTGTGACGTAGCCTCGAATCATACTGCGAGCATCAATCCACTACAAAATAATAAGCCTGCTCGACTGACTAGTTGCAAACTAGCACAAAACCTAGATCCATGATTTCTTACGTACTATGCTCAATCATTTCTCAATAAAATGAAATATTTGTACATTATCATAAATTCATTTAAATGAGTAGTTGAGTGAGTTATAGTTTTGTTCGAAAGGAGTTCCAACGCCAAGCAAACGAATATCGATCTTTATCATATTGTTTTAAAAATCAAGTCTCTCAATCAATCAATTGTCAATTCATTTTAGAATGTGATATAATAATTTTTCTTAAGATCATGAATCCATCACGGTTAGACTATCACTATTGAAAACCTGAAAGCACTGAATAGTTGTGTTCGTCCTATTGTGTGACTGCTCAGCAGTGCTCGCGTCTTCTGGGATCACCGAGTAAGTGATAGTGAGATTAGACTCAGGGTATTAGAGAATAATGATGGTAAGTCAGTTGGTGACACTGTGAATCTTCATCGACTGAAATGGTTGGACCACCTATTACATATGTCTGAACACTGATTATCACGACACGCAATGCTGACGAGTGTTTGGAATGGTTGGAAGAAAGTGAGTGGTGGACAAACCAAAACGTTACATCAGTGCTTGAAGTCACTAACTTCTTGTTTGGGCCATGTTGCTGGATACAGACTAGTTGTTTGGGGTTGGCGTGACATGTTTCAGAAATGATCGAAATGGTGTCGGTGTATACATTCTTTCTTTTCCCTTAAACTATGAGACTGAAAAATCGCTTCATATCTTTCTTTCCACCAACTAATTCTTTCTTCCTGTACTATATCCTTATACACAATCTTTATTACTATCATTGCATTAACTAGTTCTATGAGTTTGGTGTTCATATTGTTGTGCTAATGAGGTATGATAAGTTGGATATATGTGCCTGATTCTACGTTTTAGCTGAATGACCAACTGGCTGACTGACTGCACATCCATAATCCCACTAGCGGGATTCAAACCCAGCTCCTTCGATCGATTCATGATTTCAATCAAAAAAACACCCTAATCATCTTCAACTACTTACTTGCCATATTTTATATCATATAATTTTTCCAATGAAATATCACAACCATCAATGTATGAATATACAAATCCATTATTAAATATTCCATATAATTGTTGAAAACCTTTGAATTTTCCAACTACTTTCATATATTTCATTTCATTTGTTCTATCTATTAATGATGTTGTTAAATTCCCATAAATACGTATAATTAATGATGGTATTGAAGATAATGAAGCTGAATATTGTTTCTTATTGTCAATTAAGATTAATTGATTTGAATAGCCTTTATTTAATACCTGTAAAAAAAAAGATTTACAAATCATGGATTACATAATTATCAGAAAGGGAATATAGTAAGTTTATGAGTCCATTGAAGCTAGATCATCATGGAGAACTTAGATGCATTGGACGGCCGTTTCGTCATAGCATTGGACTTCTCGGCAGTGCGCACTCATGATCCCGTCTCATAACCTATCGGTCTCAAGCGTGAACGTTTAACCTCTAGATCACTGAGCTGGTTGGTATCCAACGGTGTTAATGTCTAACTTCAATTAATCCATAAAATTGAGCGACACATTCACTATTGTCTTCAGGGATTTACTATCTCACAACAGATACGAGTGAGATGGTTGAGAATATTTGTAGTTCAGTTAGAAGTTTATGCTGATGATATCGTTCAGAAGAACGATGAAAGCTCCACGACTAAACCATCCAGCTCAGAGAACAAAACTCCATCAAAAAAAGACCCAAGTGAACTCCATTGGTCACTGCTTCTCACTAGAATTCAAGGAGATACCTCTTGAAACTAGTCACTAGTGAGCATATGATGATGATGATCAGAATGGAGTTTTGTAGTGATGATAGTAATTACTAAACGTTTGTCATGAAAATCGGTTTGTAACCGGTTTCACGTACAAAACACCAGACTCTGCAAGGCCATCCATTCAAGAAGATCCCGATTTACAATAATTAACAAACTTCTTTCATCATCTTCCTGTATAGCATCAGAGATGCTACCGATCATCCAACAAAATGTGTTAAGTTTTTGTGCTATAACCATTCTCGTCCATCTAATTGGTGTTGCAACTTTTCCATCATAATCTTCTTTATATCAGAATAATAATTTAAATAAGTTAGGTATACTAGTGTTTCGTACATACTCTTGTACCAATGAAGACTATGGTGACGTATATTCAGTGATTTTTGTAAAGACAAAATAAAAACCGCATTTCCGCTCTCTGATTTGTCACTGTATCACTGGTTAAAAAACGATGATAATTGTTCTGATGATGAATATACGAATTGGGTTGTTCACAACATTTTAATCGTTTAAAAATCCCCGTCATATTAAAAGACTAATATTTGAACGAAGAATATTCTTTTCGATAAATTCTCTTCAGGTTCTACAATTATATATCCAAATTATTAATCCGAAAAATGGCCAAGTTAAGGGTAAAGTACATCGTTTAGAGCATGTGAATTTGGGATTGTGATAAACAAAATACAATAAAATTGTTAATGTTAATATGACTAATATAAAATGTTAACTTGAATCTGCGTATATGTTAAGTGAAATCTTTTAAGATCCATGATCAGAATAAATATGGGTCAGATAGGGTGAGAGAGAAATAATAGTGCAATTACAATTCGATCAAATAAGTAAGACATAATACAGAGGGATGAATGCAAAGTGAATGATTGATGTATAGGGGAGATTAATGATGTTATCTTTATTCATAAATCTTTGTATTATTATTATTATTATTATTATTATTATTATTATTATTGGTTAAACATCATTAATCTCCCCTATACATGATTCATTCACTTTGCATTCATCCCTCTGTATTATGTCTTACTTATTTGATCGAATTGTAATTGCACTATTATTTCTCCCTCACTCTATTCGACCCACATTTATTCTGATCATGGATCTTAAAAGATTTCACTTAACATATACGCAGATTCAAGTTAACATTTTATATTAGTCATATTAACATTAACAATTTTATTGTATTTTGTTTATCACAATCCCAAATTCACATGCTCTAAACGATGTACTTTACCCTTAACTTGGCCATTTTTCGGATTAATAATTTGGATATATAATTGTAGAACCTGAAGAGAATTTATCGAAAAGAATATTCTTCGTTCAAATATTAGTCTTTTAATATACGAATTGACTACCGCGTTGCTTGAAATATAAGAACGCTACCTACGCCATCTGTTCTTCTGCTTTATTGGCCAAGGTCTTTGATTGAAGACTATAATAGTGTTATAACATACTTTTAGGCCTTCCGACGTTACGTTAGACTTTTGGCACGGATTATTGTAATTATGTAATACTATTGGACTCCGTCTTTCTCATCACGCCATTGATGCAATCACTTGCAGAGGAATCTTTGTCAATCAAGTGAACTAAATTTGTGCTTGTTATTTCACGAGGTAGCTTACAAGTAACATTCATTTCATAATAACTGTTATTATCTGTTTTCAATAAAGATCGTCATCAGGCCTTTACTCTAATATACATGAATAGTTATACGAAAATTGTTTAAACCAATCAAGGCAATATGGGTCAATAATCACAATGAAATAGAATAAGTCACTACACATAAAATAGGTAAAAGTACAAGTTGATAGTAGGAAGAAGACAGGTGAACAGATAGTAAGTAGTAAGAGTAATCAAATAAAATACGATAACAAAAGTCTTATCAATAGTTCAACGTTGGAAATAGAAGATCAAACAAACATGGGTAAATAGACTAGGAATAGTCAACACCAAAACATTAAAATCATTACGTAATAAGATGTGTGTAACTAATTAGATAGTGAAGAATACAAAGAGGCGGATAATGACAAACAAATAATGGATGTGGAAATAAGGTTAACAATAACACAGATAGAATAAAATAAATAAATAATGATAATAATAAAATAAAAAATTGTTAGTTAAGTTATAACTGGCCATGGAAGGGATAGGGGAGTCACGTATTTCTTCTGTACACATAAATTGGGGTTATATGTACGAATTCCAATGGCTTCAGCTATATATAGGAGACAGGAACAGACTCCGTCGGAAAATGATGGAGGTATACGATAGATAACTCGAAATGATTTCGATTTATCTACTGCATGACCGATATCAATAAGATGTGCCAATATAGAACTGTGAATTGTTTTTATCTGGCCCTTCATAAACCACGCTGGTAGATGTTCACTCATTGGTTGGTTAAGTTGCCTGGTAGTACGCCCTATATAGCTATCTCCACAGGAGCAGCTGAGTTTGTAAATGCACATGGAAGAGGCCAACTCAGGTAACTTATCCTTCGTTTGAGTAGACATCGCTGGTCGACAAGAGAAGGTCAACGCAAGATTGGCTGCGTAGAATGTCTTGGTGATTACTTTGGTTAACCTATATTTCAGAGTGTCACTAGCCACATCCCCTTTGAATTGCAGTCTTAAACAACTTCAATGGGAAGATACAAGCAAAACATTATCAAATAAATTATTGATATAACTTTTGTTATCGTATTTTATTATTCTTACTACTATCAGTTCACCTGTCTTCCTACTATCAACTTGTAATTTTACTTATTATGTGTAGTGACTTATTCTATTTCATTGGGATTATTGACCCATATTGCCTTGATTGGTTTAACATTTTCGTATAAATATTCATGTATATTAGAGTAAAGGCCTGATGACGATCTAATTGAAAACAATATTGTTCGCTTATATGTGTTGTTCTAATTTTCACAATGGGAATCTTTAATATTATCTGTTTGTTTAATATACCATTTGTATCCTAACTGTATTTTGTTACCATTGGTTTTACTCGCAGATAGACACCTAGGGTTTTTACTGTTAACTCTCTTCGTATATTAATATTAACCTAGTGTATCGATATATCTCATGAACACATCAACATCTGAAGGGAAACACAGGATACAGTGGACATCTAAGATGTAGTTGGACGGTCTAGACTTCGCAGATGATCTGGCCCTTCTATCCCAAACGCAACAACAAATGCAGGAGAAGACGAACAGTGTGGCAGCAGCCTCAGCAGCAATAGGTCTCAATATACACAAAGGGAAAAGCAGGATTCTCCGATACAACACAAAATGCACCAATCCAATCACAATTGACGGAGAAGATTTGGAAGATATAAAAACCTTTACGTATTTGGGCAGCATCATTGATGAACAGGGTGGATCTGATGCAGATGTGAAGGCGCAGATTGACAAAGCAAGAACAGCATACTTACAACTGAAGAACATCTGGAACTCAAAACAACTCTCTGTCAACCAACACCAAGGTTAGGATTTTCAATACAAATGTCAAGACAGTTCTACTGTATGGGGCAGAAACCTGGAGAACCACGAAAGCCATCATTCAGAAAATACAGGTGTTTATTAACAATTGTGTACGCAAAATACTTCGGATCCATCGGCCGGACATTATTAGCAACAACCTACTGTGGGAGAGAACAAACCAGATTCCAGCGGTGGAAGAAATCAGGAAGAAGCGCTGGAAGTGGATAGGACACACATTGAGAAAAGCACCCAACTGCGTCACAAGACAAGCCCTCACATGGAATCCTCAAGGTCAAAGGAGAAAAGGAAGACCAAAGAACACATTACGCCGAGAAATGGAAATAGACATGAAAAAAAATGAACAAGAATTGGATGGAACTAGAAAAGAAGTCCCAGGACAGAGTGGGTTGGAGAATGCTGGTCAGCGGCCTATGCTTCATTAGGAGTAACAGGCGTAAGTAAGTAAGTAAAGTAAGTTTGCTTAAAGCAACGGAGTTGTATCATTATCCTTCACATACTCTATTGCATGGTGAATGAGTATACATGTTTAAATCAAGACATGGCATCAGATCATGAAATCGTTGATTGTTGGTCTAATTCATATCGATAGATACAAATTACCTGGTTAAGATTCTCATGATTAGTTTTCGAAGACTTTGTGTGATATATCTTGTATAAGCTCCTTTTGCTGGGAACCATCACAAAACTGTCTATATCCTTCATAAACTCTTTGACAACTTCACCCTATTCAATGGTCAACTACAAATACTTCTTCAAGACGAACTATACATGAGATAATGATTGTTCGTAAGCTTAGATAAATTACCTAGTGCTTACCTTGGCAACAATATTCTTTGTTTCATATTCTGGTAATAAGAATGTAATTAATTTTTGTACATTTACATGATCATTAATTCCATGAATTGTAATATTGAATATTGGTATATTCACTTCATTAATTGTTTGAATGATTTGTAATTCTTCTGGAATCATTTAAATTAAAATAACCGGTCTTTCTACTTTTATTGTTTAAATGTACTATGACCTTGAACAGATAGATAATGCTGATTGGTTAAATAATGTTAAACTATATATATACGCGCACATGCACATGCACACACGCACATGAATAAACATACATAATTATGTGCGTCAATGTCTAATTATTTCATACGGATTGAAGTATATTGATTTGTGTCAGAAAAACGGAAGTATTTAACAGTTTAGGGGTTGTGGATATTGTTAAGTTTTATTTTGATTGAGACTATGCACTAAGTGATGTTAGACCACCATTGAAAACCTGAAAGTACTGGACGCTTGTTTTGTCCTGTTGTGGGACTCCTCAGAAGTGCGCATCCACGATCCTGGGATTCGAATCCAGGGCCTACAGTCTTGCATGCGAACGGTTAACCTAATGGACCACTGAGCCGGCATCCAATAGTGTTAATGTCTAACCTCAATCAATCCACGAAGTTGCGCGCCCATCTTCCATTGTACTGAGGTAGACACTTGTTTCTACCCGACATTGATTAGCTCCACTGGTCACGGCTCCAATGGTGGTCTAACATCAATCGGTTCATGATGCCAATCAATAAAAAGAAGTATTTAGGTTGATAAACATAATAATAATAAAATACATTGAAAACCTGGAAGCACTGAACTATCGTTTCTTCTTAATATGAGATTCCTCAGTGGCAGTGTGTATCCACCATCTTGTATTTGGGAATCGAATCCAGGACCTTCGTTCTCGTGCGCGAACACTTAACGTCTAGACCATTGAGCCGATATCCAACTGTGTTAATGTCTAACTACAACTAATCCACAAAACTGAGCGACTATCTTTCATTGTACTGAGGTAGACACCTGTCTCTATCCGATACGGATTAGCTCCACAATAGAACGAAACGTCCATTCAGCGCTTCCAGGTTTTCAATGATGGTCTAATACTAATCGCTTCATGATCTCAATCAAAAACAAAATTTAACTTGACACTATCAAATGCATTGAAATTTAGTTAAATTGTTGATGATAAGAAAACAATAAACTGGTAATATTACAGTTTCAGTTTGGAAAGGACAAGTGGATTAGTGGCCTATGTTAGTCTTGGCAATGATGGTCTCTTAACTGATTCAACTTTGTCTTGAAAGAGTTAACAAATGCAGCTTCAATCATGTGTTGAGTTAATGGATTCGATTCGTTAATGATTCAATGGGAGAATCGATGATCAGCTGACAAGCAATTTGTTCTGATCTTTTGAATATTTTTTTAGAGTGTCCTCGTGAATCACCTCGTGTGTCACCTCTGAATCTTCCATGAGTAGAAAAATTTAATTTCTGACGTTATGCAGTTTGGCACAAGTAACCGAATTAAATTAACATAAGTTTTTCATAGTACAAAAGAATAAACCACAATATGTGAGACATTATTGTGTGTTAACTTGATGTTGTTTACTTCTGTCTTCCCATTGTTATTTAGGATTGCAATTGATCAGTGGCTGTTGTTGGCATATATGCATACTGTACAGACTGCCTCGATATTGCCTGAAGTCAAAAGCTTTATAAGCAAAGATGGATATTGACTAGCAGTGTAATCCAGTTTCAACCCTTTTTGAGACTTGTCAACTGGATGTACCTGCATCTTAGAGTTGATGTTCACTCCGGGGCTCGATTGCAATCCTAAATAACAATAGAAAGATAGAAGTAAGCAACACTAAATGAATACAACTTCACTCATTACACAAGCAGGTGGCTATCAGACTCAGTAGCTAAGTGCATAACGCGATGATGTTTGAAGTGCACGGTACTGGGTTCGAGTCCCAGAGTGAATATGAACTTTGAGATGCAGGTACATCCAACTGACAAGCCTCAAATAGGACGAAAAACGCGTCCTCGATTCCACTGCTAGCCACTATCCATCTATGATTATTGCGTATGTTTATATTTATATGAGTGAGTTTGAAAAATCTTTAGTATTTGTAATGAGGAAGAGTTGAGTTATGTGCTTAAATATATCTTAGTGATGTGAGAAATTGGTTTTCAAGGACACAGCAGCATATTATTATGCATACACACACACACAGTTACTTCAGATTATCATCTTTCAAAACTTCAATAGGCTTTCACTTATTTCTTCTCAGTTAATGATATCTGAGTTAGTTGATTATTACAAATAGTGTGAAATGTTTATGCTATTGGATAAGTTATGGAATCTTAATAGGGAATAATCAAAACAACATTTATTCTTCCTTGATTTGAATGAATTTTCATCAGTACATTCTTCAATACTGCCCCCAAATGCCCTATTACGGTTGAGGGTGGGGAAAGTTAGCTCTCCATCACGAAATGCTTTCAAATGGCAACGCGTCTGCCACGGAAGTCCTACTCACTGTCTTTTCGCACCACGGGTGTTGATTACGAAATTGAGTTGGTGGACACCCAGAGGAATTGGGAAAACCATGATTTTGAACCAATGGTGCACACGGGTTTCAGTACCCTGAGGGAACAAATGGCGTATGAAGCAATCGTTGGACACCGGGAACCATGGGACTACATCTTCTAACATTTCCCCACTGCCTTGTGGATCAGACCTTTAGATCGAAGGCTCGGGGTGTGGCTCCCTAAGATAACCACCTGCTTCGGTCTGGGCACTCGAGCAGTATCACAGCCCACACACAAATATATATTCAGTGCCCCATTTTGATTTATACATAATTTTTAGTTATAGGTTATAGAGATTGTTGAATCTCATTGAAATCATAAACTTGTCAATGTTAGACCATGAATGAAAATCATCCAGTAGTTCCAAGTTTTCACCGGTGGTAATGTATAGATTTTATTAGTATTTCATTTAGTCAAAATGAAATGAAATAATTTAAAATTACATTGGATAGTTTGTCAAGACTAGATTTCATTAAAAAGTTATACCATCATAGAAACCTATTGAGAATTACCTAGTGTAGGAAAGTTATTTTAGTTTAGTTCTGATATGTTTAATACTATACATCGGTTATTTCACATGAAATCAAATCCACAATATTATGGTCTTGTTTAAAGAAACAATCACCATTTTAACGGAAGTCTGTAGTATGAACTGATTCTATGGTTCGAAGACACTATGGTACTTTATTTCGTGAACAAACATATTTCCAAAAAAACTTACGTACTTACTTACTTACGCCTGTTACTCCTCATCGAGGAGCATAGGCAGCGCACCAACACTCTCCATCCAAAGCTGTCCCAAGCAATTCTTTCCGGTTCTTTCCAGTTGATATTCATTCTTTTCATGTCTGCTTTTATTTCCCGACGTAATGTGTTCTTCGGTCCTCCTCTTCTCCGCTTCCCTTCAAGATTCCAAGTTAGGGCTCGCCTCGCGATGCACTTTGGTGATTTCCTCAATGTAAGTCCTATCCATTTCCATCGTCTTGTCCCAATTTGCACTTCAGCTGTAAGCTGGTTTGTTCTCTCCCGCAGAAGGCTGTTGCTGATGGTATCCGACCAAAGGATGTTGAGTATCTTGCGTAGACAACTATTTATAAATACTTGTACCTTCTTGATGCCCAAACCTCCCCCTTTGACTAGACTTGGGACAAGGATTAACCCTTGAATAGCTACAGGTGGAATATTGAGGGAAAACGGAAAATAGGAACACAAAAGAACACACTACATCGAGAATTGGAAGCAGACGTCAAAATAGTGAATAGAAACTGGAACTAAGTGGAAACGATTGCCAAGGACAGAGTTGGATGAAGAATGACGATGAGCGGCCTATTCTCTCCCAAAGTCAAAATTTTCAATACAAATGTCAAGATATTTCTACTCTACTACGAAAGCCATCATCCAGATGATAGAAGTGTTTATTAACAGTGGTCCTACGCATAATACTTATGATCTGTTGGTCAAACACTATCAACAACAACCTACTGGGGGAGGGGACAAACCAGATTCCAGCGGAGGAAGAAGCGCTTTTTACACTCTTGAAACTTCCTCAAAATTAAAATTTTACAGATTGAAATCATGAGTCAGTTGAAGCTAGACCACCATTGAAAACCTGGAAGCACTGGACGGCCGTTTCGTCCTAGTGTGGGACTCCTCAGCAGTGCACATCCACGATCCCGCACCACGCGGGGCTCAAACCCAGGACCTACTAGTTTCGCGCAAGCACTTAACCATTAGACCACTGAGCCGGCATCTAACGGTGTTAATGTCTAACTTCAACCAAACCACGAAGTTGCACCACCATGTACCAGTGGTCTAGTGGTTAAGTGTTCGCGCGCGAAGCCAGTAGGTCCTGGGTTCGAGCCCCGCGTGGTGCAGGTTCGCGGATGTGCACTGCTGAGGAGTCCCACACTAGTACGAAACGGCCGTCCAGTGCTTCCAGGTTTCCAATGGTGGTCTAGCTTCAACTGACTCATGATTTCAATCTGTGTAAATTTCTAAAAATCTCCACAAACCCCTTCTGATTAAGATTTTAGTTTTATAAAATATGTCTGTACAGTCTGTACAGTATGTTAGATAGTAAACATTTTAATTGTCAAAGGTAGTTTTATACAGTCCCTCCATTGCAGGTGTATTTGGTAAATTTGTTACTATTCATTGCTTCTTACTTATAATAAGTAAGTGGTATACTTTGTTATTATAAATATTTTACCAACTAGTTGCCTCTGAAGTATTAAATTGTGCAAAATTTCACGGAATTAAGATGGAAGGAAATCTAATGTACTTGTCAAATGAAAACGTTATAAATGTTGGATATCATTCAAGTTTATATGAGATTCAATGCATTGGATTTATTTCGATACGGTTTGAGTTAGATGGTCTACACACAAAATGCTTCGCTTACATAGTTTAATCTAATCTAATGGAGTTTTGTTCTCTGAGCTGGATGGTTTGGTCGTGGAGCTTCCATCGTTCTTCTGAACGACCACCATCTTACTATAATCTAATTAAGAAAGCTCAGTAATTTCGTCAACAAAAAATAATGTAAAATCGGGAACCTTAATGAATTAGATTTAGTGTACTTCGT